AGAAGGCATACAGCCCCATTACGGCAAGTCAGTGGTTGGCGAGCACAGTGGCCGTAGAGCATTAGCCCGTGCTGCACGTTGCTGTAAGGCCTTCTGCGATCCCGCTCTCGATGAACTTTGGAGCGTCCAGCTGTCTCTGGTACCATTATTGTCAATCCTTCCTGGTTTTATGACAGAGGAAACGGGACGCTACGCCAGCTATGTACGTGTGCGAGCCATCGCTCAACCTAACGCTGCTCGGGGCCCCCGGCAGCTGAATAAATTTTTTTGTAATGATAGACCCATAGAGGGAATATATCCACCCCGGACTGGTTAAGGCTGCAAACATACGCTGAGCGGATACGCATTCTGGAGATATGGGAGCCGGACATGATTAGGTGGGAGTTTTTGGATGGCCGGCAGCTTGTGCCCAGGCTACATACCCTCGCATATCCACTGCACGATTCGATGCGTATGCTAGTTTCTCCTGCGCTTCGCCGTATCCACATCCAACGCTTCTACTCAGCAGATGGCGTCCACGAGTTTCTCGAGGATTTTTTACTCAAAAAAGCACCGAGTCTTGAAAGTCTATCGTCAGCATTCGGTCCCGTGTTCTCTAAGCTCTCCTTGGGTGTTCTCGCCAAGTTCGAGCACCTGCAGCACCTGACCGTCGCAGAAGATGCGGTGATCAGTATCAGGCAACTAAATGAGCCAGGGGCACCGAGCACCGTCTTCGACGGCCTGGAGGAGATACTCAGTCTCCCCCTCGACAAGCTACATCTTCACATCCCTTTTGCCAGACGCAGTTTAACCTTCTCTGCCCTAGGAACCCGCTCGCTGCGGGTGTTGATGCTCACTTCCAGACCACGTATTATCGATGCGGTGCTGGAGCTCCTGGCTCATAGTCCCCTGGAGGTTTTACGGCTTGGATACATCCATCCAGCAGGGCCGGGCAAGGGCACTGCTGCCGGCATATGGGACAAACGCTTCGCGCGGGCCGCGCAGTGGTCTAAATCCATGACAGTGCTCGAGATGAAGGAGTACCGCAGCTCCGAGTTGCGGGACGATTCCGACCTCGATGAGAGCGTGCACGGCGACTGCGAACCGCTCCTCCAAATGGCGAACCTGAGGAGCCTGGCACTCACCGCTGGGTATACCACATTCGACTTCTCTGACGCCTACTTTTTGAAGATGGCGCAAGCGTGGCCGCAGATGGAGGCCTTGAGCATCAAGAGCTGGCGCATCGCGCAGCGGCCTTCGGCCACTTTCGGCGCACTCAATGCCTTTGCGGCATATTGCCCGGCGCTGCACTCCCTCGATTTGTCCCTCTGCTTATCCAGGATCAGGACCTCGCCGTCGGCCCCGACGCCCCATAGGCTTGAGAACCTTTACATCGGATACCCGATCTATGGCGATCCTCAGCGGGTCGCGCAATGCCTGTATGCCTGGTTTCCTTTCGTCCGTGTCAAAGGGAGTGACGAGGAGCTCCCGAGGAATAATGCTTTCACTGGGATGCCGGTGGTCCATGAAAATTTGGGTAGGAAGACATCCTGGGTTAGAGTCTCGGATGCACTTGAGTTATTACAGTCGGTGCAGTTATGCAATCGAAGTTGAATTTAATATTTCGGACATGCAATGGGACGTGAGCCACAAAAACGCAAGTGCTCGTTACAAATAAGAGTTGATATTTCAAACTCATCGCTCACCGAGACGGTCGAAATCGCAGTCGTCTGATACGCCGGCCTGTTCCCCAGTACTTCGGATGAAAGGGGGAGTACGGAGTAAGAGTCTGACGCTCTGTCCGATTAAGCTAGGCGGATGCGCCGGGGGAGTGTGTGGCAGGAGGTGCGCGAGGGCGGACCTGCGGGTTGCGGTCTCGCAGGAACGGTATGAGCTGTGATATGAATTTCAATTAGCCATAATCTGGTATTTTCTGTGTTACTGACCTCGCGCAATCCTGAGATCCTCATATCGAAAATTGCGGCACGTGACGTTATTAATGAATGGGTGTATTGTGCACCGCCACCGCAATGGCGGGCTACAACACGACCCGCTTCGTCGAGCAGCTGCTCGAACGGACAGAGACGCTGCCGCCTTCGTTCACGGTGCACCTTCACCTCGAGTACTGGTCCCTCAACAATGGCTCCAAGTTTCTCTACAACAACCAGATCGCAGTGCGTGCCCATCCCACCCACCCCTCGCCGCTAATCCTTCATATCCCTGCCTCTCCCAGTCCCTGCTCGAGGATGTCCGCGCCCACCGCATCCCCGTCGACTTTCTCGACCTCTTTGACGCCGCAAAGGTCCCTTTTTACGAGGGTGAGCCTCCGTCTGTGCTGTTCTGCGCATACTGATACTGATACTCGCCATCCAAGGCTGTATGGTAGTTGAACTCGTCGACTACCGCCCCCAGCGCGCAAAAGAGGTCAACCCAGACAAGCCAGAGCGCACACGCGCTGTGCTGCACCCCAACGCAGAGACGCTCTGGGCCGACATCTGTGCGATGAACCAGCGCCACGGTGGGCAATGGACCGACCAGGAGGCGCTCGAGGTCGAGGCTAAACTGCTCGTGTGTTTATTTCCCACTACATACAATCCTCAATCAACCACTGACTACTCACTTCATTCAGCTAGCAACCGCGCCCCCGCTCTGCCTCGCCCCAGACCCGCACCTCGCACGTATCGCAAACCACGTCATGCGCGTCTCCACACCCACCGTCCCCGTCTCCCTCAAGCGCAAAGCGCCCCCCACCGACCCCGCCGCCGACGAGTCCGACAAGTCCCGCCGCGCCAAGATCATGGCCTTTATGAACCCCCGCGCGAACAGGACCATCACGCCAAAGTGTGTGCTGCCCATCCTCGTATTCCTATGTGTACGTTCTATGACTAACCGCGCTCATCTACAGCTACCGCATCCTCGACGCCATCCAGCGCCAGCGCGAGCAGCGCGCCTCCGCCCCCGACCAGAACGCCCTCGCTCCCCCAGCCACTTCCACCACCGCTCTACCTCCAACAGTTGCGGTCGCTCCACCAGTACCATTACCAGTACCGCCCACAGCAAACCTCTTTGCCCCATCCACCTCACTGTCCCCTATCAAGCCCGTCCCGAGCCCCCTCCCCATGCAAACACAGATCCAGAAACCAGGCACCCCCGCCCTCAGCATCAACATCCTGCCCCCCACCACAGCCGCAGCTGCATCCGCGTCCCCCGCACGCTCGCAGTCCCGCACGCCGCAGACTCAGACTCGAGCCCTCACCCCACAGACGCAGACACAGACACAGACACAGCAGCTGCAGTTTATCACCCAGAACCCCAATCCTACAACCAACACGAACACGAACACATACGGCTCGCCCTCCCCCCGTCCCCCCGTCCACCCACACCAAAGCCCCCACCCACACCACCAAAGTCCACTCCAGAACCAACAACCCCACCAGAACCAACACCAACAACACCTCCAGGCCCAAGCACAGGCGCAGATGCACCTCCTCCAGCCGCAAGTCTACCCGAGCGTGCAGGCCGCGACGGACGCGGCCAAGCAGCGCGCGCCGACGCCTGCGCAGCAGGCGCAGATGAAAGCGCAGCTCCAGGCGCATTACCTTGCGCAGCAGCGCGCGGCTGCTGCTGCTGCCGCGGGTGGGGGTGCGAGTGGGGTCAAGGCGTCCCCTGTTCCTGTTCCGGGTGCTCAGGCTGCTTCCCCCGCTGGCGCTGGCGCTGGGTCTACCTCTACCGCTACCCCCGCTTCCGCGCCCACACCCGGGACCCCCAGTACCACCAATGCCAACGGTGCAGCAGCAGCGGGCAAGCCGAACGCCCAGCAGCAGCAGCAGCAGCAACAACAACAACAAATGACACAGGCACAAGTACAGGCCCAGTTTGCGCGGTACGCACAGCAGCTGCAGCATGGGCAGCAGGCGCAGCACGCGGTCGCGCTGCAGCGGATGAAGGCACTGCAGGCGGCCCAAGCGGCAGGGCAGGTGGGGGTGGGAGGGCAAGGGCAGGTGGGGATGGGAGCACAAGGGCAGGGGCAAGGACAGGCGAGGCTGACGCCGCAGATGCAGGCGCTGCTGCAGGCGCAGATGTTGCAGGCGCAGCAGGTGCAGCAAGCACAAGCGCAGCAGCAGGCGCAACAGCAACAGCAGCAGCAGGCGCAGAGGCAGGGTGCGACGCCCACCCCGACGCCTGGTAGTGGGGGCAAGTCGCCTGCGCTGGCTGCTGCGGGGAGGAGCCCGATGCCGCCGCCGAAGAGGAGTCCGATGCCGCAGGCTGCTCAGGCGCAGGCGCAGGCGCAGGCTGGGATGATGCAGTTTGCGCAGGCGCAGGCGGCGGCGGGAGCACAGGGGGTACAAGCGCAGGTGCAGGCGCAGGCGGCGTATTTGGCTCGTCAAGGGCAGGCCCAGGGGCAGAATGTACAGCAGCAACAAGTACAGCAACAGCAGCAGGCCCAGCAGCAGCAGATGCACATGTACACGCCGCAGATGTACCACCAGTATGCCTTGCCAGTGGGTGTTGGGTATGGTCAGCATCTGCAGGCTGCACAGGCACAGCAGGCGCAGAGGATGTATTGGCAGCATCAACAGCAGCAGCAACAGCAGCAGCAGAGGGCGGCTGCTGCGGCTGCGAATGGGGGTGCGGGGGCAAATGGTGCGGCGGGGGCGGGTGGGAAGGGGCAGGGCGGGGCGGGGGGTGGGCGGTAGGTAGCGTAGGGAGTGGGGAGGGTGTTGTGAAAGTTGGACACTAGACGCATACGGTGGATATGTAATATGTAATTATATGGTGTACGATGCTGCGTTTTAGTGTTAGAGTGTACATATACATACTCTTCAAGTGCTGAAGTACCCAAGTAGTGTGTTTTTGGAGTGCCGATTGTTACGGTTCCTCTTTCCGGTAGCTGGGTAAGTAGAGTACATTTAATCAAATTTAAAATAAGGCTTCACTTCGGATTCGAAAATACGCCACTCGGGGCGCTTGGTTACGGACGCTGCAAAAAATGATACCACTCGTATTGCGAATTCATGTATAGCCCACCGCGAGGGTCGAACTCGCAGCCTTCAGATACGCCTGCCGGTGCCTGAGTATTTCGAGTGAAATACTAGGGGTACGGAGTAAGAGTCTGACGCTCTATCCGATTGAGCTAGGCGGGCTCTGAAAACTTAGTGTTGTGGATTTAAGCGGGTTGGCGCGGCAGCGGACCATGAATTTTAAACACTTGCGTGTGCGCCGTGAAATTTTCACAGTTGAGCGCAAAGTGTGAGGCCAACACGGATCGTGTTGTACTGTGCAATTGACCACGGTCAGGACAAAGTGTTTTATTTTCACACATCAGTCCAAATGTGTATTAACAACATGTCTATAGTGTGAAGTGTGAAATTTACACAGGCTATGGACGCTACTACCACTTCAACACTGCCCATTGCTCACCAGACTTGCTATCGCTACCAAGATCCCATACCAATAGACTATGA